TGCTCTGGTACGACAGATGGCAAGAGATCCTGAATCTCGGGCCACGGTTCGTGGAGATAGTTACCTGGAATGACTACGGAGAGTCACACTATATCGGACCACTGTCCTCGCCTCATACAGATGACGGGGCCTCCAAGTGGGTGATGGATATGTAGGTGATTGCAACCATGTCGCCAAGTATAGCGCTGACAGCTTCTTCAAGGCCGCACAATGGATGGCTGGAAATGTCAAAACCTTTCATCGCCGCTTACAAGGCCGGCGACAAGTCCGTCAACAATTACATCACCGAAGACAAGTTGATCTACTGGTATAGACCAACACCTAAAGACATCAACTGCGACTCAACGGACACTACTATGCAGGGAAATCCGAACAACTCAAGTGGAAACTTCTTCCGTGGACGACCAAACGGGTATGAGACGATGAGCGATGAGGTCTTTGTTGTCTCATTGCTCACGTCACCAGCAACTGTTCAGGTCAATTCAGGGAGCGGTAGCAATACATTCCAAGCACAGGCCGGGGCCAGCGCCTTTGCAGCACCAATGGGCATCGGCAAACAGCAGTTTTCGCTCCTGCGCAATGGGCAAACCGTCATGTCCGACACGAGTCTGAAAGACATTGTCAACAGCTGCATCTGCGGCATCTACAACTTTAACGCCTATGTGGGCACCGTGCCAGCGGAGAAGACCATTGACAAACTCCAACCAGCGGGACTGGCGATGCTGTATCAGGGACTGACAGTACCATGCCCGACTAACACTCTAGGACTTGCTAGTCCTAGCGCCACCTCTCAGTAGGCATACAACTCTCAGAGTTCCAGACTTTCGTTTCCTTTGTGCCAGACAAGTCGTCGGGTCGTTCTTTATAAGGGAGGGTAGGGCTCAGTCGTTACTTTTTGTTGACTTTGCTGGCCAAATACTTGCATTAAGTGTCGCTCGTTTGCATGAACTAGGGATCTGTAGGGAGGAATTCGTCATTCGCTTACGAAGTGCAACTCATGATTACCATGATACCACGAACAGTTATTGCTTTGAAATCGAATGCTGGCATCGCAAAAGAATCTGTTCCCTTGTCCTTTTCCGTAGTAGTCGTAGTATGTGAGCAAGTACTCTGTGAGACTATGGATTTTACTCCGACACAGATAACTATACGGAATTGTCGAGAGGGGCTTACAGGAGTATGAAATATGAATTGTGGACAAATGCGACCCTCAAGTTTCCAGCACAATTGAGATGTAATCAGTTTGTCAAGTATATTGGACTCTTGTTACTACATTTTGATATCTATCATGTCGGAACTCACCGGGTGTTGGTTGCTCTTGACGCCGAGGGCCACCGATAAGGACTCCTGTAGACTACTCCGTACTCGTAGACTCTTTGAGGATCTTATCAGTGAATCATAGCGTTATCTCCCCCTTCCTTTATTTAGATCCAATGCCCCTTTTGTCCATCCTATACTTCTTCACCGACACTTCATCTATTTCTGATCTTCAATTCTTCTACTTACACTATGGGACTTACAGTTTTCGATCCGGATAACATTGACTCGACCGCTACTCCTGACGCGCTTACTATCGGTTTCCCCTCCCCCGCCAGCCACATATGACCCGACGTTCGGATATCGCGTGATTCATTCCTCTTTTTATCCATAACATCTCCTACGTTAGCTACTCGCGTCTGAAGGGCTTACAACAAAGGGCCGATTCGCTCAAAGTATACCTGCTATCATCATTATATATTGAAACCATGGAGCCCATCATGGTCTGTTAAGATGCTGTGCGGGGTTGAGTTGACATAGATTGGCGGTGACGAGAGCGTTGGTCAATTTAACTTTGAAGAGGTATATATTGGTATTTTGAGTGTCGACTCAGTCATGGCGAGGATCAAGCAGGGCGTTTTCTCCTGGGAGGATGTGCTGGCTCAGCGGTACCAAAGTAAGTCGAGATGTATCCCCTGTAGCCTGGATCCATACTTGCAAATCCCTCCTCGTACGGAATGTACCTCAGAATGCAAAGCAGTATCATGCAGCGCATGACTGACTGAGTCATTCAGACAACAAGCCAGCAGCCCTACCCAGATCGAGAAGGCACAGTGTCCTCTCCGGACGAAGCCAGTCCCAGAAGCAGACCGACACACGACTGGAATGGATGTTTCAGCCTGACTGCTTGTTACTGATAAAACTCGCACCTGAACTGCGCCTTCTGATCTGGGAGATGGTCTTGGGTGGGATGCGCATACATATTATCCAGCGGCCGAACCGCCGGATGGGTCACATCGTATGTTCGCTTGCCGAGACCTGCGATATCTGCCGCGGCAATGTGCCGCAGCTGGCCAAAGACGAAGAGGCCAGGCGAAAGACTCAACTGTTGTCTCTCGCGTTGACCTGTAAACTGATGTAAGTAATCTCATTCCTGGGAAGACGATGGTACCGAGCCGTCTCCTTTATCCCGGCCCGATTTATCTGATTCGAAACATCAGCTACTGCGAGTCGATCCATCTGTTGTACACGCTCAACATCTTTGAGTTCAGCAATACCTGGTCCCTGACATATCTCCGTCCAACCGTCCCCGCCGACTTCTGGGACTGTATTCGTGCAGTCGAACTGCGCTGGGCATTCCCAGGCCACTGGCTCCCCAGTAAAGACCCGGTAAAGACGGTCTATTTCTCCGCTGGACGCCAGCAGTGGGTAGAGACCTGCCGCACCCTGACGCGGATGAAAGGCCTGCAGTCGTTCACGCTGCAACTGATGGGGAACTGGTTCTGCGAACCGGTGGAGAAGATCCCTGTGTTTTTGGAGCCGTTACGGGAGCTGGACCTGAAGAACCGTTGGAAATTGCAGTTGCCCCGGCAGCCATACTATATCAAGGAGATTCGGAATATCGACGGTGATCTGCGCCAGAGGGGCATTGACTGTTCCGTTCGAGCCGTGTGAGGTACGGAGAACTTCCCGTCACTGATCCGTATTGACTAATTGGAATATTCAAGGTAGATTCTAATCTGAACATGGATTATTCCTGTAGATCTTGCACTTTGACATTGCATTGCCTGGAAGAGCCCAGCTCCTTATCCTCCGACAACATAAAATCGGGCCACTGCTATCTCCGATTCCATTCTGCCCGACTTCCTATCAACCCTAACAGCGAGCAGAGGCATATCTCTATCATATTCTAGCTGAACACAATATCTTGCTTACCCACCTCCCTTTCGCATACTCCGACCCTCATGGTCCGTGCCTACCAAAACAAACCAAATCAAGCTAGCCGTCTCTCGGCCCTCGGATCCGACACACCGCCGACACTTAGTCAGTGACACCACCCACCTGACCAAACCCACCAATCACAAACCCTCAAAGCACAACACTCACCTGACCTTAAAAGCCAGAGCACCCCGAAGCGGTTAGCCAGCCGCAGATCACCCCCTTCTCGCGTACAGAAAAAGTATATTTATAGATCTTGGCTGGATCCTCCGGGGCTGGGCTGGGCCCCAATCGCGGGGAGGGGCGCCATTGAGCTTTCAATGCTGATGTTGAAAAACTGGAAATGGCGGAAGAATGGTCCATTGGAGCAGTGCAAACTGCAAATCGTAATTAAACTGGTATGGGTCTGTCAGGGTCTTCGCTGCCGGCTGCTCAGGAACATGGAAAACTAGATGCCTTTGATTGCCTGATTCGGTAGCATGTCTTAGACTTGGGCTCGTTTGTCTGGTTTCTATTGGACGGGTTGTGACTTTGTGCCCTGAGTTCGGACTGGAAGATTACTCTTACGACTTCAAGCCTGGTCGAAACCTGATCTGTGCATGTCGGCTTGGATTCTTTCTTCAAAAATGCTCGTCCCATCTCTCTACGAAGATCAAGTAAACGTCAATTAGGCTGAGTGGATAAGCTTGAGGGGTATCAATTGGCTAAATTCTTGAACTATTACTTTTTTCCCTGAATTTTCTGTTGATGTAACATAGAAGAGTTTAGTTGACATTATATGAGATATCTGAGATCGCCAGGAGTCAGATCAATTCGCAAAAAGGTAATGACGCTTCATCTATAGATGGCATGCTCATCGTTGAGCATAATCATCAAATGCAGAGCATATCTCCAGAGCGGTGGTGTCGCTTCCATGCCTCATGGCATGCACCAGCAATTGCAATCTTGCGTACACGCTTGGCCCAAATATAGTGGGAGAGTGGAAAAGAAAATCAAGAGTGTCAAGAGTGAAAGAAGAATGAAAGAGAAAGGAAACAGAAAGGAAGAAAGAATGTAAAAAGGGATGTGAGGAATAATAGTAGAGATTAAATGTATAATCATGCCAATCTCGCTCACATGCAAGAGCCGAGCTCAAAGGTATGCTGATCATCAAGTCCCAAACACCTTAATCATATCCAAATAGGAAAGTGTTGCAGAGTAGAATAGAAAATATAAGTAATAGCAGCTTGCTGGACAGAAGGAGTGTCATAGTAGAATTTTGCAGGAGATAGGAAAGGAAGTGATGAGTCCTTGACTTGGTGTGATACACCACTGAGAACTGGCAATGACTGCCAGGGAAACACGCGCCAAAAGCCATGAGATGACCGGAGGTCCATTCTCTCACTGGTTCGCAGGCGTTGGACGGAGGTGCCGCTGGTGTTCGCGAAATGTCGAGATTCCTGGATGATGAACAACAAAACGGAAAAGGATGGCGGTGTATCGACAAGTACCGACACTTAGGACTCATAGGAAATATCGGCGTCCTGCGAATACGCTTTTGATGAGCGGCCTAACCTTCCTTCCTACTCGTAGGAAACCCCATAGTAGGCGGTGAACCTCATACGCATATCGCATGCACCTCGACTGCTGCTCATCTAAACAGTTCCGTTGAGACGAGGCGTCGCATTAGTCGCGGGAGACACCGAATGAACTTTGTTGAAGTTACGTCAGCATGGTGTGAGATGAGCGCCAGCTGGGATGTCCCTGGAGACAGCCGTAACCGCAAGAGGTGAGGTAGATGTGTATAGCCGACCCGTGCTTGAATTTTACCGGCCGTCTTGGGATCGATCGGGGCCAGACTGGCCGGGACCCATCTGTCGAGTAGCAACCCAGTCTACCGGAGCGTCCTGCATTGAAGCAGGTGTCTTTTGCTCGTCAGCCCGACTACTGGTCTGTTGCCGAGGGAAAAGGTTGTTGATCTCTGCGGCCAGTGCGGAAGCCATGTAGGCACGGAGTTCCTTTTCTTCGCGCTCGTCCTCTTTCACAAGTCGTCTTTGATCCGTCTTCGACATACTCTCCCGTCGCTTTTTCCGGATCTCATGAATGACCCAGAGGAGAACCTCCTCTGGCACACGATTTCGCGGAGCGCCATGCTTGACCGGGCTTCGCACGTACCGTCGTGTAACATCTGTCGCACCATCGATGGAGAAGGCAATGCAGTAGGATAGCTTTCGACCCCAGCCTGAGAAATACGGTCAGTCAGCATTCTAAGAAACTCTGTAGCTTGACATCGAAGATTTCTCACCTTCAGTGTAAAGGCGCGGCTGATCCCAAGCCTCTTCGCACGCATCTACGTGCACCCAACGCCTTTGATGCTCCGAGTAGACCTCGGTCCAGACGTAATCCTCCGAATTCCATACCCATCGTACCCGACCACCCAGCGCTCTGCAGAACATACTGAAACAGTTGGCCCATTCACCCACACGCCCTCTTCTGCTCTGTAACAATTGCCAGACGTCGGAATATCGCGGAAATCGCTCATATGCGCCACAGGACGATTCCGAGCAGCGGTATAGCTCGACCCTTGTTGCACCACGCGCTGTTTCATCTGGCGTTGKGGGAGTCATGCCCTGAGCGATTGTAGGCATCATGCATCGAGAGCAAGGAGGATTGTTGACGAATTGGAAGAAAGAGTGCTTGAACCACCTATCCAAATATCTACTGTTAGTTCAACGCCATCAAATAAAGACCAGTCCCAGCAGAAACGAACCTAAGTAGAGCCCTAATAACGCAGTCTTGATAACCCCACTCAGGCTTCCCCCCTACGCTAGCGGCCTGAGCCTGCATGATCTGGCTCTCTTCCTCCGCCTCGGAGTAGAGGCGATCGAGCGGGATAAGAGAGAGAGCTTCGTCGAGGAGGCCGGGGTTTTCATATTTGGTCGGAGTGACAGATAGAACATGCAAGAGATTTCGGAACTTCAATGATTGTTGATCTCGAGGGGGGGAAGGAACGACTGGAAGGTTTCTCAATGACGACGACGCTGGCAATTGATGCTGTTGACGCTGCTGCGATGGTGACTGAGCACCGGTCGGAGGAGGTGGTGGTGCCCGCGAGGGATGTGGTGGTGTGGTGTATGAATGAGCGGGAGACGGCGATTGTGTGCGAGATCGACCTCTTGATTGTTCCTGAAGAGAATTGAACCTCTTTGTCCGCATCAGTTGCTCGAACGCACGAGTCAATTCGGTCGCATCGTAAACGTCCGTTGTTGGCGCCCGCCGAGTGTGCTGTTGTCTGCCGTCCGCCATGCTGGTAGGGGCTCGACTACACCAGCGATCGATTGATTTGTACCTCCAGGTCGTATTAAGAACCGATGAATCCTTTCCTGAGACGCTGACGAGGCCTGCCTTCTAAGTCACTCAAGACAAAAGTCAGTAAACTTGGCTGCGACGTAGTCTGTTGATTTCAAGGTAGAATGAGTTGGTATGTGACGATGGTCGCACAGCCCAGCCAAGCGTGGCGACCGCTTGGCGGTAGTTAAGCAGCAAACCAGGCAATCCTTAAGGAGGAAGATGGGAAGTCAAAAGGATGAAGAAGAGTTACCTTTTTTTTTGTTAATTAATGCGAGGTGAAGAAGATAGCGATCAGTAGCAAGTAAGTAGCAGGCAAGTAAGAATTGTATAGGGTGTCGAAGATGGTCAGGTGTGTTGGTAGGGGAGATGAAAGGGTCAGTGAGGTTCAGGTTAGGTTAGCAAGCAACAAGCGACAGAATCATCAGAAGGAGTAGGTTGGCAGACTAGTGTGGTACATTATTAAGGTAGGAAAGTATGATTTTACTCAGTCCTGAATCATTTATTGGGACCTTCGCTTTTCCTTTTTCTCTTTTTCCCTTTTTTTTTCCCAGCTTTTTTTTCCCATTTCCACGCCAGCAGTCTTGAGCAGTGAGGGCGAAGCGTCGTCAGCCTTGGACTCCTCCCCCAATCACGGCCCTGCGAGTGCACCGCAAGCCGCGTGTGTCCCGCCCCKAAACAGTTAACCGTACCATGGCCAAGACACTTTGGGCTTGTCCGCAACGACTGTTGATTCCCTTCCACGCACGACGATTGGGGTTATGCAGACGTACATACGTGTACCCTCACACTGGGTGTCAGTTCTTCCCTTCCCTCCAGGGGTCTGGGGAATCATTGTACATTGGCTCATTGGACAATACCGTGGCGATGATCCCAAGCCATCGTCACCACGTCATTTCTCCTTGCCATAATTTAGAATTCATAAATCGGGTATTTTAACCTTCAATTGCTGTTCCATCGTTCCTGATACTCCACAGATTAATCACCAAAGGTGACCGATCAACGCCCAACACTTGGAGTTGAACAGATTACGAGTCTGATTGATGGTCTCCACTACCGTCTCCATGACCAGCAGGCTGCAATAGATAACTACTACGAAGGTCTTGTCGCTGGTTCGGATGAGTCTGCTGATAAAAAGACTCTAGTTTTCTCTCCACCTGCTGGTGACTTTGTAAGTCTTGCGTCCAACTGCTACGATCTAGCTTTTTGCTTCGCAGGCCTCCACATTCAACCTCTAGCCCTGGAGGAGTTACGAGGAGTTATCTCTACTCGACTCCGTATGGAAGGCAGGTATCTGGTTCCTTACAGTCATGATCTTCAACGCCATATCAAAGGAATGCCAAGTTTCCTACTTCACATCCATGCCATGGTACGTGGGATATTCGCAGTCAAACTCGTCGGCAACTAGCCTGTCTTACGCGGCTCTCCGATCAACAAACTAAAATGTCACCATTTCATGCGTGGGATGCGCAACTCCCGTACCATGCACCGGCCAGCCATAGACCTTACGCCCAAATATACGTCAACAGCACCGGCCGTAAGAGGATCGCGGATAAGAATTTTCTGAAGCATCAGCAACAGCTCCAGAAGGCATACAGGAATTGGTAGGAAGAGAAAACACCCTTCAGTAGATGTAAGCGGGTTGAACCGACTGCGGGCCCGACCCAGGCTCTGGCTCTACAATACGCTATGGAGCTGACGAATCGAGTTGGATCGATCATTGTGCTGCACTCCCATGAACACCATCCAAGCATTTGGACGCAAGAGTACGCGGCGACGCGCCTATGCGCCATCAGTCGTCGAGTCTACTCGGATAGGAGAAGACCCTGACAGTCACACACAAGCGTAATCGTACCGCGGAAATAGTCAATGGCCGATGTTGATCATGGAGATCCTGATTTGGATCGGTGTTTTAGGATTCTGGGGTCTCTGGGAGAAAGTCCAGGTTGACAGTCGCCTGTCTTTCTACGACTAGGTTCTAAGCTCGAAGATGATACGGTCGCGTGGAACTGCGTCTGTCTAAATTCCCTTGTAAAGCAGCAGCCTATCAAAAGAACGACCACTGTAGTTGACCAGTAGGATACAGCCTATGCAAGTATGCATTATTATTGTCGTTATTGTCATACAGAGTAGAGAGATACCAGCCCTGTAGAAACTTTCAGGCTACTAGAACACGAATCCACACGCGGCCTACGTGCACAGGGCACAACTGATGAGTTTGCATCCCCACTCTGGCAGCAGTTCATGTTCATTTGAAGAGCGAAAGGATATGCGCACTCACAGGACCGCAAATCATGCCTTATTGCCACATCATACCGAAGATCGGAAAATATAGACTGGTATGCGCCGAGGCCCCGGGGTCAAGCGCAATTACATAGGTAGTATTGAACGTAGGTATGATTTCATCTTCGATCTTTTTCAGTCCAGTACCTGAGACCCTGAACAGCCCACGGTGTAGGCACCTTTCCCAGCGTCTCGGGGAATTAAAACAGAGCAGAAGAGCCTGGACACAGCACCCAGTGTTACAGGATTACCGCATCCTATCCCTAGGAGGGAGACTTGGTGGCGGAGACGCGCAAGCGTCCGTCTTGGCATTAGACAAGATCCGACTAGCGCGGCGCGTAGGCTCCACTCCACTAAACCGGTTTCTGATTGCGACCGCATGACAGTCAGAAATTCTAACTTCTCTCGAGCCCTAGACCCTGAGCTAGGGGGCTTGGCAAATGCCTCTGCCAGGTCTGGGTCACTCTGGGACAGTCTGGCTTTTTGCATGCAGACCTGCGAACTCCTTCCATGTTCTCTCGATTTTGGGTGACCTTGGAAATCTCAAGAGGAATGATCGAGGACGCCCAAAGTAGGGTCTAGACTACATGATAGCCATAGTTTTTGGGAAGTTGGAGGCAGAGCCCGAAGTACGAAGACAATAATAGCTGTTCCTGCAATCGACACCAACTAACGCATAGAAGTACGCCCGAAACAGCCAATAGAATGCCACCACCCTTGTCTGGGAAAGTATACCTACATAGGTAAGGCACCTAGTAAGGTACCTAGTACCGTCCGTATGAGGCTCCCGACTTCACAAGTCCCGACTGGCCTGCGGCGCCAGGACCTACGGTACTAAGCCACTAGTACTAGTCCCAGAGAGTCAGCCAGACCGATAAGCCACGATTCTGAGTGGCTCATGTTTGAAAGCTGAGGATACAATTGGAGGAGGTTTTACATACTTGCCGTCGATCACAGTAACTTGTACCATAATCAAAGCAGGAAGGTCAGTACACAGTAGTAGATATTGTTGAATTACGATTGCAATTATCGGTTTGTCGGTTCTGGCTGGGCTTACTTTCAAGATGCGGGGTAGAAAATTAGGTGTTTTGATATCCTAAATTCCTGGAAATGTCTGGCGCAGTCATTATGATCTCATGCTTTATCCCTAGACATAGGTAGTATGCATCTAGGATTGCCTAAGGCAGAATTCATGCCAATGCTAATGACATCGAGGGATCTTCAGCATGACTTCACTGTGACATTCGAGCGTTATGTCTCGAGTTGATGTACAAAATTGAAGAGAAGAAAGAAAAATTGCTTCGTGTCTCGTTGCCTATTATCGCTATTATTCTATTTACGTATTGTTTGGTCATCGCTATGCATTGTGCAAGGACAGTTCGCCACCCTTGAATCCATACCCCAGAGGAGAGTAGAACGAGGAAAAGAAAGGAATAGCTTTCATCACATCATGACGAGCATTGAAGTAGTTCTGCCACAAACGATTTGCCCCAAAAGGCACTGAACGCAGTCAGTATGTACACTGGTAATGAACTCCCAGGGCGTTAAGTACGTACCTCGTGTACTTGGAAATGTACTTGTAAAGCTTCTCAAACTTCTGGGCGCGCTGTTCATCACTCATCGAAACAGCCTCATGATATGCTCTGGCAAGCTCTTCGGTGTTCCATGGGTTGACGACGAGGCTACCGTTGAGACTTTGAGCGGCTCCTGTAAATTCGGAAAGGATCAAAACGCCCTTGCGCTTCTGCTGCGTTGCAATGTATTCGAATGATACCAGGTTCATCCCGTCACGAGTAGAGGAGACAACGCAGGCGTCGGAGGCAGCGTACAGGGCGATGAGCTCATCAAAGCTAACTGACTTGTGCATAAAGTGAATAGGCATGTAGTCGACAGTACCTGTTTGAGTGAGGGTATCAGCGATGTGTTATCAGCTAACTTGACCAAGGGGAACCTTTCTTACCAAATTTGCCATTGATACGTCCCACAAGCTCGTTCACCACCGCTCTGAGGTTCTGGTACTCTTCGACATCCTGTCGACTGGGAACGGCAACTTGAACAAGGACGACCTTGCCCACCCACTCCGGGTGGTTCTGAAGAAAGACCTCTAAGGCATGTAACTTCTGCGGGATACCCTTGATGTAGTCCAAGCGATCAACGCTGACCATCAGCTTGGTGCCTTGGAACTTGTTCTCGAGGCTTGCGATGCGATTCTGCACTTTGGGGCTCTTCAGACCCTCGGTGAACTTATCCGGATCGATACCAATCGGAAAGGCGCCTACGGCTACAGATCTGCCTTGGTATTTGACGCTGCTTGGGGTCGTGACCAGGCCTCTATAGAGCGTGATTAGCAAACATCGTGAAGCACAAATGGGATATCAAGCAAACCTACAGTAGATGTGAGCAGCTGCTCAAGAAATGACGTGCATAGTCATAGGTGTGGAAGCCGATCAAGTCACAATGCAACACACCGCGCAGAAGCTGGCCTCTCACGGGTAGGATTCTGTATATTTCACTGCTGGGAAAAGGTGTATGCAGGAAGAACCCGATTTTGTTATCTTTTTTGCCCGCCTTCCGTAACTCCTCGCGGAGCAATTCTGGAAGAAGCATGAGGTGATAGTCTTGTACCCAAATCAGGTCGCCGTCTTGCGCCTCCTTTACAATTGTTTTGGCGAATA